AGTTCTTCTTTTCGTTTATCATTTAGGGAAATCTTAGCCTTCAATTCTCTGATCTGAGCCTTCATGTTGGTTGTACTTTGGTCGATTTCTTCAACTTCTTTCTGCCTAGCCTCTTGTTCCTTCGACAACTCCTTTAGCCTTGAAGTTGATTCAGTAGTAGCACTCCAGACAGCAACTACATGGCCATTGGCATCTTCAATCTCGTGATTGAGAGTCCTTCAACGATTGTAATCAGTTGAGACCTGATCGAGGATCGAAGTCAAATCCAAAATAATGCTGGCGATGTCAGGGGAGGCAGCAAGAAGGTCGATAACTCTTAAAGTGGTCTTCAGAAAGGAAGGAGCAGTAGGTTCTCCCTATAAGTTCAGCATTAAATCTCTTCTAAAAAGTTGCGCCTTAACTTTCTGAAGTTCCTCCTCAAGAGGAGATGGTGAAGTAGATTTGCCAAACGCATTTGAAGCATCGTTACTTTGATCGGAAGAACTTTCTATTCCCTCGAGAATGGCATTCAAGTAGCCAAGAGGATTATTCTGTTTTAGTAATGCCAAATCCTCCTTAGTACGAGACCCTATCAAAGTGAATCTCTCATTGGTGACACGGGCCACATTTTCTCCAACATATAAATCCTGTATCTGGACATGGGCACCTTCAACATTTGCAGGGTTTATTGCTCCCTCTGCAGAGTTCTCTCTCTCATCATCCGCCGGAATATCCTCATTTTTATTCTCTCCCTCTGATATGCCCTTCCTCTCCGGTTCGACTGCATCATCAGCAGCTTCCTCTTCCTATCTTGTTCATCATTAGTGGCTAGTGAGGTTCTAAGATTAGTGTGTGACAGGTCAGAATTCTCCTCACCAGGGATTTCTTTATTCTGCTCCCCAACAGTTGCAACTTGATGCTCAGAGGTTTGGTTCACCTCGCTGGATGAGCTCACAAAGGATCCCTTTGCTGAAGAAGGCCTATAAGTGGGATCTCCCTAACTGTTTATTAAAGTGACATATTCTTCTACAGGTATATGAGCCTGTTTGGAAGTGCCAGCAGTGTCCTGAGGATCAAAAGAGTATTATTAGAATTATTGTAAAATAATTTAAAGAAGAGTTTTAGATGGTCGAAGTTGTTACCCAGGGTGGAACTCCAGCACCAGGACTTGAATTATCACTTTCACTGGGTTATTCAGCCTAGCAGCTATTTATCATTCCGTTGTCTCTTTGATGATGACAGGAGGAGGCCTCGACTTAGTAGCCATAACCGTAATTTTGGTTTTCAGACGAGGTTCAGAAAGAGGAGCTGGTTTCTTTAATTTTTGCCTCTTAAGAGTGACAGGAGGAGATTCTTCTTCTTCATCACTGGAAATTTCAATTTCTTGAACTTTCCTTTTCTTTGGAGTAGTTTTCTTAATACCCAGAAAATAAAGGAGTTGAACGCATCAACATCAATATTAATATGTTGAAAAGAAAGTTATAGAAGAAAGTATTTATCTATGGTGGAGGTTTTACAGAAAGGTCTCCTCCCTTTGCGCTTTCAGCGACTTTCTTGGTAATGGTTCTCTTGACGGCTAGAAAATAAACAAGTATAAGCCAAATGTCGAATGATTGAGTCGAAGAAAATAAGGCATTTGCTTTGAAAATAAAGATTACCTTTTTTTTATCTTGTTAGAGACCAATATAAACGCCTCTTTAAGACGGTCATCAAAGTATTTTGCATCGAAGAATTCTTCGTCATAGTACTGCTTCCACCAGTCTTCAAAGATAGGCGAACACAGAAAGTTGAGTTTGAAGTCAAACAAAGTTAGTACGGTTCGACTAACATACCTACCAATATGCTTGGTAGCAGCATCCTCTGAATAGTCTGCATTATAAAACAGCAGAGACTTTTCTCGGGGATAGATTGGAGAAGGGAGTGATTGGATGATGCCAAATTGGTGAGATACAAGATTCGGTTGATAAGAAATCAAACTGAGTTGATTCTTCGAACTCTTGAATCTCAGTGGCATAATTCTTGGGAGAAGAAACGATTCCCAGATAGCCACATAATCCTCCACTTGGTCCTCTTCATCAGATAAGGGATATGGTCGAATAAACCATTTTGGACCCACCTTTTGACTGGTGAAGGGAGCCATAGTCGAAACAAAATCCTTACGCTTTGCAAACATCATTACAAAGCTAGTAAACTCTTTCTGGAACTGTTGACCCTTATCAGTTGGAGTCAACAGGACTAATCTAGTGCCTTCGACCCTTCTGTTTAAGATTTATGGGGCCTTCTCATTAATCTTGTTCTTCTGAGGAAGAAAATATTCAAAAGTGGCATTGAGCCAAAGTTGAAGGAGCCAGAATGGGCCAGAAAGGAGCAAACTCGCCCTATCTCCAATAACTTTAAGTTGAGTCACACCATTACTGATGGACTCATATAGGTTGACCAAAATTAATTCGGCCAAACAAAGGTTGTATCCATGATGAAGTTGCGTTGCAAGGGTTAGCATCTTCTTAGTAACTTGAAGTGACTTGGTGCAGAAAACGAAGCGAGACAACCACAAAGCTAGAAAAGCTATGTGTTCCACTTCAGAGACAGTGCTGCCAGACTTGTCATGAAAGTGGTTGATGAATGTATTGTATGTGGTTTTCGTGTCCGAAAACACAATAGTGTCTTCAGATAAATCTTCAGGGTCGAAATAGCCACCAGTTGGTCGAAGACTAGTAATGGCTGCTATGTCAAAAAGAGTTGGAGTCACCATTCCACAGGGTAAATGGAAAGTGAAATACGTGATATCCCATAAGTACAACGAAGATACCAACATAAGAGGGCAATAAGGTAACCCAGTATTTGATAACATGAACAAGTCATAAATCCCCATATCTTTCCAGATTTGGGTCTGCACTGTTTCCGTCTTACTTAGCCAATCTGAATACTCTGAAGTAAGGCTAGGGCAAGACCGAAAGATCATGTTCCCCTTGTTCATAAACTGAAGGTTTATGTCTTCCTTCATTTGAGAGTGTTGTTGGTTAGTAGGATTAGCATCCTCAGGGTCATTCTTGGGTTTCTTCGCGCAACTTATAGGCTTGAGCCTAGGGTGAGTTGGGAAGAAGGCATTATTCTGCTTGGGGTTCTCAACGCATGCAGATAGTGGACCAGACATGGCGTACATGTGCCTAGAGTACCTAACAGGAATAAGTACCTGAGAGTCGTAAGCTTCACGCCATTCTCTAGTCATGGGTTCAGAAACAACCCTTCGCTCCCCAGTCTAAGCAGGAACAGAACTAGTGTAAAAGATTTTTGGTTGTTGTTGTAAGTTAGAAACTTTCTTGGTTTTGGTATTGTTTAGTGCATTTGAAAGGAAATCCATGGTTGAGGGTAGTAAAAGAACGAAGAAGATGAAGTTCTTAAGATTTGTTTTTGCAAGGAAATAAGGAATATTAGGAGTTGTAAAAATTCCAAAGAAGAGAGTTCATGGCTATCTATAGTGTCTAGGGAAGAGTGTTTTCCCTCAAAACCATTTAATGTTGCAGAGTTAGTGGGGCATGTGGTGAACGTTGAGGAAGTTATCGTACAAGTGATGGAAACATTTTCCATACTTTCCTAGGTTGTAGGGATAATAGCCATCATGGCAGCATGCAAATGGCTGACTGACTGTGGCGTCTTGGAAAAAGGGTAATGATGACTCTGAATACCAGCAGTGGTTGGTAGAAGGCGAAAAGTGGAAGATTGACTTTTGTGGCAAAAAAGAAGACAGGTGTCGAATGGGAACATCAAAGAATGACCATTTCTTCTGGCGTCAAAATAAACATTCTTGGGGGGCAATTTGTTAGCTCCTGAATTCGACACCTACACATGTTGGTCCTACTGGCCAAGAATAGGTTGAAGAAATCTAAAGTTAAAGACGTTTCGACAGAAGAGTTCGTGATGTTAGTTGTGTCGAAGCTATGCTAAGAAGAGAAGAAATACTTAGATAAATTTTCTAAGTTAAAAGGGGGTGTCCGACCAAGAAGCCTTTTCCCTTCGACTAGGAAACTTCGTATCAGCAACAAGTGATTTTGAATCTGAAGAAAGGAGGGAAAACCAGTTCACTTGGAAAATGAAGAAAGCAACGTGGCATAAGGACAGAAGTCGAAGTGCATACAGAGGACACTTGTCCTCATCTTAGAGCGAGGCAACTCCTCGACGATTATCTAGTTCTAGTATAAATATAGGGATTCTATGTAGATTTCCATGTGTTCAACTAATTGTACAAGTCACTCAATATTATTCGAGTACCCGCTGCGTGAGAAAGAATATTGAGAATGTACGTTTGAAACACCATATTTTATAATCAAAGTATTTTACATTCCTTTTTACATTCCTTTCCATTCTTGCTTACAACCTTTTATCTTACTTGCAAAATTTATTTTCCCTTGCATTTTACTTGCACTTTTTACCAGATTTCTACACTTAAACTTATCTCAAACCTCTACCTTTCTCAGTCGAATGCGTTCTTTATTAAAATTAGCATTCTTATCAAAATAACACAAATATTTAGCATATGTCCTAGGATCAAACTGATTGATCCTGTAAGTAACCAAAAATTACCCTTTTTGGAAGATCAACGGTTATTTACCAATTTTCACGGTAAACAATGGTAGACAAATATGAGAAACTTGAAGGTGCCATGGTAGACTATTAACTACCTAACATAAATTCTTTAGAACTTCCAAGCTTTCCACATGATAATAATCTACTCAATCCCTCTTTTAGAGAAGGGAATATTGTAGGGCAAGTAGTCAAAACATCAAGCGAACGAAACACACATTTGCTTTCAAGAAACCGAAAGACCGATGAGACACTTTTAACAATGATATCCTTATGTTCCATATCATAGATTCCACTTTTTCAGTTTAACAAATAGTAGAACAAAAAATAAAATACATAAGTTAATTCATATGTTAATCGCGGACTACTTCTTTCTCCGAGGTGCAACCACTTTATCAACAACAACTTTTGGAGGATCAAGTACATATAACAATTCCTCATCATGATCTTCCAGTTCTAAGTCTCTGTGAATCCTTAAACCATGAAAACGCAGCAACAACAACCACTATGTCATTCCTGCTTTTCATCAAACACATGGAGGTCAAGCTCAGACATGCCTTAAATCAGTAAACTAAAACAGGAAAGTTCACATAAATCAGTTATAACATAAGTGATTATCAAAAGATAAAATGAAATCAAACTGTTGTAATTCCTCACGCATAAATGACTCAGCTCACAATCTATTAAATATATTAAATTCAATTTTACTATCAAATTATTAATACAAAGCTTAATTATTCATCAAGTCTCTAAGCTACTTGATGATTAAATGCATGCACAATCAGTTAACTCAGATAAGTGATTATCCTATAGCACTTAATGAAAAATGTTTATCTAATTAGAATCTTAAAAACTCACAAAACTCATAAGCCTTGGCAACAACTTTGGCAGCAATGTGAGCTAAAATGTTTTTGATATTTGTGAATGGTAGAAATATCATACCCTTTTCAAAGTTTTCTTCTGTTAAAATTACCTCTTTTTACATAGTCAAAATTCAATCACTGTCAATAGCAATTGGTTAGCAAAATCATGAACCCAGACGAAACGGTTCTGAACCCACTTCATACACCTTCACCATCATCAATAAAAACAATTTAAATAAAATTCAAAATTCATTTTATTTTATTGCTTTAATACAATATCCAATTCAGTCCTAAATTTCTATAATCATATGAATCCAATCTCTTAAATTAACAATATTCTAAAATGATGCATTAATATGCCCAAAATCAACCCTACATGTCATCATCATATTGTTAATTTAATACACAAATAAAACTGAGAATAAGTCTAAAGAAAAGCATAGGGAATTTCATGACTCAATTTATAGCATCTACCAAAATTAAAGTGATTGATAAATGGTAATTTTAGGGGGAAATTAGTTACAATGAATAACAACATACCACATAAATCAATAGCTGTCTTCAAACCATTGTTAGTAGATTTCAAAGAGGAAGTCAGAAGATGACTATTGATGATGAATAAACATGATTTCTACCTTTGCGCAACCTGGTTTTATCCTTTGACCTACTTTCACCACCCATAATGTATCCTAGAACAACTGTTAGAAACTAGTGCAATAACCAATTAAATCTGTGAAATTGATAACTATTTCCGCACACTATAAAACAATGAAATTGATAGGTTAGATAGACAACACTTCCATGATTCAGTTTGACATGTGGTTTTGATGATGGAAAATCCATAATTAGAAATTTTGCCAACCCTGTCTAATCAGAAGCCATCTCACCTGGAGAGAAGCAACCGTATTATGCAACGATTGAATAACACTAGACCTATCATTGAAAAGCTTTTCTTGCTCTGCTATTATCCCATCCTTCTTCTTCAATTCTTGTGACTTCTCACTGATTTGAGAATCTTCAAAATAAAACCAACCATAATAACACATTAGCCATAAAAAATGAAAAAACAAATCTCAATCATAAAACTTCCTAAAATTGTACATCAACAACCGTAACCACCACAAACTTTATTTCAAACACAAAAGCCTCATCAATAACTGCAACTAATTGAAAATGTATACGATTGATAATATACAACAACTTCAATCCTAAACTGAGTTTAATCAAACACACTCCAAAACTATCTACTAAAATTGAAACTCGATAAATTGATTAAAATAAAAAACGAACATAATTGAAATATTAAATTTCGCGTAAATTAAAAAATCAGACCGAGAAATTGGATCTTGGTATTGAGTTGATCTAATTGTACCTTGAGAGAAGATGAATTGGAACCATCGCTGGAAACGTCGGCTTTGAAAGTACCAATGACGAAAATTAGAGCAACAGAAAGAGCGAAGACAAAGAGCTTCGAAGGCGCCATGAGAATCAACCGCCAACAAAGCTTCGGGAAGAGAAAACAAGATAACTGGTTTTCTGATATTTATAATAACAACAACACTATTACTGAAAAACCAAAGGGTTGTGTTTTGATATAGTGAAGATTTTCGCTTTTTTTGGAGACAGTTACACAACAGCAACCATGACGAGTTATGGATAACAATTACAAAATTGATATGGATATGGGTTATTGGAGAGGTGGGGAATACAAATGCATCATGGCAGTATTTAGGAGAAAGTGTAGGAGAATCTAAAATCTGAAATAGAGACCAATGAAGATAGCCACGTGGAGTGTTTTTGGAATAAAAGGACAAAATTGTCAGAATGGGTAGAATGAGTTTTCTTATATTATAAATTTATCTATTAATTCTATGAAAGAAAAATTTTCATGAACATAGTAGGAAATAATTTTTGCAGGGTTCGTACTAGATAAAGAAACATAATCCTAAAACTAATTTTTATTAAAATTCAAACATCTAAAATAACCAAATCAGTCAAAATCACTTTTTTAGCTAATCAACAAAATATAAAGATTCAATAATCAAACATAATTCTAATAGAACAATCATTTTTATCACATAACATATAACATACACTTTGTTATCCTATAGAATAACAATAACAATTAAGCCTTATCTCAGTAGATGAGATCGACTAAATTGATTAATTTTCGCTATAATATTCTTTGAAGGACCATGCTTCTACCCAAATTATTAATCTCGAGATCTTTCTTAATAACTTCTCTTATAGTCTTTATGGGTATTCCTCGTTCTCGAATTGTTTGTCTTCTATCCATCTAGTCTACTCTCCTTACTATAGAATCTAAATGTCTTTCCTCTACATGTCCAAACCATCTAAATCTATTTTTCACCATCTTCTATACTATAAGTGCAACCCCAATACTCTCTCTAGTATTTTTATTTCTAATTTATCCTATCAATTTTTATCACACATCTACTACAACATCCTCATCTCTGCTACACTATATTTTCGTGTTGATTCTTAATCATCCAACATTCTTTTCAGTACAGAATTGCAGGTCTTATTGCAGTCCGATAAAACTTTCCCTTAAACTTGAGCAGTACCTTTGCATCACATAAACTACCTGATGTCTTTCTCCATTTCAACCATCCAACTTAAATTCGATGGTTTACATCCCCTTCTATTTCTCCAATATTTTGTATTACAGATCCAAGATATTTAAATCGTGTGACTTGAGAGATAATATGATCTTCAATTTTCACCTCTAGGTTAGAAACACTTATTCTTTTATTGAAATTACATTTCATACACTCCATCTTACTTCTGCTTAAGCGAAAACCATGTTTTTCAAAAACATGTCTTCAAATTGATGCATAAATCATTAATTAAACAATATAATGAATCAAAATCGATCCTTCAAAATGAAACATGCACATAAGCACAACTAGAGTTGTCAAAATGGGCTACCCAACCCTAAATGGGCTGGCCTCGACAGGCCTCGAGTTTTTTAGGGATGGGCCAAAAAAAACCCTATTGTAATATAGGCTCAATTATTACCATCTGAGTTTGGCCTTATACGGACTTCGAGCTACCCGACCCTAAACATGCATTTCTATTATTATTTTTTATATAAAATTAAAATAAAAACCTCATAATATTTATTATAAATATAATAAGATATTATATTATTTTAAATATAGTATATTTGTAAGTACCGTGTTAATTTGTATAAATTCTTTAATATATTTTTGAATATAAAACATGTCGAAATTGTATAAAATAATAATCAAATATTTAACTTAAGAGAAACTAATAAAATATGAGAAAATAGTGAAATCAAACACAAAATAATTAAATATTAATTTGATTAAATTAATGTATAATATTAAAAAGAGATAAAATTTAGTGAGGTGGGAAAATAGTGTCTTGTTTTGCAGTGAAACAATATAAATACTAATATAATTTTTTAAAGTATATAGTTATGTGGGCCTAACGGACTACCCACGGTCCATACGAGCTTGTCTTAATGGGTAGCGGATTTTTTAAGGCCCAGCTAAAAAACCCCTAAAAATACGGGCTCTAGGCATGACAACGATGCAGGTCAGAAACAATTTTTAACTCCACGCACCTAAATCCAAATCTTCGAACAATCCACGTTCCCCATCCCAATTCTCACGTGAATTGAGAATTACAATTTAAATCTGCCCCAAATGGGTTCAAGTATCCCCATTCCCCGCCCCGTCACCATCTAAGCGATTAAATCAATTTTTTAAATTGAAATATTCATTTTTTCCAACATCAAATTACATTACAAATAAAAAATAAAAACAATTCTCAAAAATTTCATACATATATTTCAAATAATAAAGTCCAAATTAAAACATCAACCCATTGATCATATATTTAATATTCTAATTATCAAAATTAAATAATGAAATAAATAAGGAGAGTTCACGGTGAATACTAGTATTCTCATTACTCGACTAGTCTCCATATTTTATAATTAAGAAAAACTCAAACACAAATCTAAACTAAATTAAATCGAATTTTCCTCGTTAAATTATATATATATATATATATATATATATATATATATATATATATATATATATATATATATATATATATATATATATATATATATATATATATATATATATATATATATATATATATATATATATATATATATATATATATATATATATATATATATATATATATATATATATATATATATATATAAGTGAGCCTTCATAGATACGGATTATCTTGCCAAACATACATATAAGGGTGTAAGCGGATTAAAAAAACAAATTAAATCGACAATCAAAATCAAACCAAACCAAAAAAATTTGAATATTTTTGGTCCAGTTCAAAAGCCAAATCAAACCAATTAAAATCTAGTTGATTTTGTTTGATTTTCAATTTTAGTTTTTAAGAACCGTCAAACTGATAAATCGAATCAATGACTATAAATACCTACTTAATTTTTTATTTAACTCATTAAAAATCAAACTGATAGAAATATTATCGATTTACATATTTTTTCTTCCAAAAACTAATTCAAACCGAAATGATTATACCCCTACATACATACACACCAAAGCGACAAAAAAAATACATTAATAAGAACAACTAAATAAAAGCCACGTGTAAATATCACTTAATTAATATTAGAAGATAAAAAACAATTGCAGATTGGCTATTCTAGATCAAAATATTGAGAGAATATGAAACAAGTCTTGGCAAAATATTGAGAGAATTTGAAACAAGTGTTGGCTCTTTTATGTTCTTTTGTACTAAAAATTTGGGGGTGGAAAATCAGTTGATTTGGTTTGAAATTGGACCAAAAACTTAAATCTGATATAAATTATGGTTTTATTATTAAAATTTGATTTCAACTGATAAAATTTTGATTTTTAATGAATTCGATTTAGTCGATTTAACGGATAAATCAAGTGATTTTAATCGGTTAATATTATTGAAATAAATCTATAAAAATTATTCATCTTTTATAAAATTTCACAAATATTCATCTTTTAATTTTTGTATAAAAATTATCAAAATTTTAAAATAATTTTAAAAAAAAATTATTGAAAAAACGTGATTATCACGTTATAAAGTTTCAAATATCATTTGATATTAATTTATTCATTATTATACTTTAAACAACAAATTAAATAACACTCAAAATTTTATATTGTATATCTTGTATTTTTATGAGTATATATTGTCATTATTAAATTATGATTTTGTTATTAAAATCTGATTTTGACTAATAAAATTTTGGTTTTTAACGAATTAGATTTAATCGATTTAACGGATAAATCAAGTGACTTTAATCGGTTAATATTACTGAAATAAATCTATAAAAATTATTTATCTTTTATAAAATTTCACAAATATTCATCTTTTAATTTTTGTATAAAAATTATCAAAATTTTAGAATAATTTAAAAAAAAAATTATTGAAAAAACGTGATTATCACGTTATAAAATTTCAAATATCATTTGATATTAATTTGTTCATTATTATACTTTAAAAAACAAATTAAATAACACTCAAAATTTTATATTGTATATCTTGTACTTTTATGAGTATATATTGTCATTATTAAATTATGGTTTTATTATGAAAATCTGATTTCGACTGATAAAATTTTGATTTTTAACGAATCGATTTAATCGATTTAACGGATAAATCAAATGGCTTTAATCGGTTAATATTATTGAAATAAATCTATAAAAATTATTCATCTTTTATAAAATTTCACAAATATTCATCTTATAATTTTTGTATAAAAATTATCAAAATTTTAGAATAATTTTATAAAAAAATTATTGAAAAAACATGATTATCATGTTATAAAATTTCAAATATCATTTGATATTAATACGTTCATTATTATACTTTAAACAACAAATTAAATAACACTCAAAATTTTATATTGTATATCTTATATTTTTAAGAGTATATATTATCATTATTAAATTATAAAAATGATAACAATTTGACAATATTATAAACTCTATTTTTATAATATTTCGATTTTAAAATAATAAAAAATATATATAATAAATATTTATTAAATTCGGTCAAATTCGATTTTCAACAGACCTAAAATAATTATCTGAATCTAATTAAATCAACTTTATAATATTCAAATTAAATAATCCGATAAACTTAACGGTCAATCTCATCCCTTTTATTTACTAAAAAAAAAAATAGATCCTTCAGTTTAGATGGGACAATTCTAATTTGTCCATCCCTACTAAAAACAAGAGCTAAAAAATGCTTTGAATTCGTTCATCCCTATGCTATGTATCATGGACTTCACACACATAATATCATAGTAATAGTACTATCACCTTATTTACCGTTGGTATATCTAGCATAGGATACCTGACTTTGGAAACATTCACTTTTCACATGCTACAAAATTTATGACAAAACTTTGTGTCTCTAATCTTGTCTCTTCTAAAACCATGCTCACCTCTC